GATTGATGTTCTTTTCCCGCTCGGGCTGCTTTGTTCTAAGTCGCCACCAAGTCGCCACCAAGTCGCCGCCACTGACCTAACAGGGTCCTCCAACTTTGTTCCTCTTTTTCAAGTTTCTTTGAGCTATTCGGGTTCTTTAAGGTTTCTTGTGAATTTTAGAATGAAATGTTTTATTTTTGCAAAAAACATGATTAGGATTTTGATAGGCTCACGTTGCACCTGCAGATCCTTTAGGGAGTACTAACATTGAAATAATATCAAACCTTCCAATTTATGAACAATCTTGTCTCTTCATTTCTGTGTCTTTTTTTTACCCCCATGTCTTTTGGCAGTGTTGCATAGTTTGCAGTCTACGAGTCTTTGGTTTCCTTTAACTAATAGTTTGGAGGTGGTCCCTGTACACACCAGTCTGCTGACCCATTAGGGTGGTGGCCAGGGGCCAGGGCTAGGTGCCATGATGGTTTGGAAGTGGAGTCCCCCCACCCCCAAAGCTCACCTGTGAGACAAAGAAAGGTGTGGAGGGGAAATGATTGGGGTATAGCCTTAACCTAATCAGTGAATTAATCCCTGATGAGACTAACTGAGGTGCTAGGGGGTGGCTGGAGAAGGTGGGAATTGGGGTGTGGTTTGGGTGTATTTTTGGATCTGAAGAGTGGGGTCTCTGTCTGCTTCTTGATCTCTTGTGAGCGGTTTCCCTCTGCCACACGCTCCACCATGATGTTCAGCCTCACCTCAACCCCAAGGAATGGAGCAGCCCTTCTATGGAACAAGACGCTCAATCCTGAGCCCTCAAATAAACCTTTCCCTTCTTCAGGGTGCTGCCTGAAGAAGGGTCCTTCAGTCACAGCAGCGGAAACCTGATAAAACAGGTGCCAGTTCCTTTTGCATTCCTTCCCTCTGGTTGAGGCCTGGGCTTCTAAATGACAAAAGCTTCAGTTTTACCCCAGACAAGCAGGGTGGGGGACAGGTGCGGAGAGGGGAAGGGGCCTTGGGCTTATTTTCCCTATCCTTCACTCTGGCCTGGAACAGGGTGAGAGGCAGAGAACAGTGCATAGGGTTGACTTGGAATCCAGCTCCCAACCCTCCAGCCCTGGAGCCCAGGAGGATCCAGCCCTTTCTTTCCTTTCCTTTCTCCCCTCCCCCACCCCACCTTGACATTTGGCCTTGGCACATCACCCTGCTTCCCAGGCTCGGCTCTCACTGGCAGACCAGGGACACGGCAGGGTGACTGCCGGGTTGCAGGCAACTAAAACACTCAGGGGTCATTCCGGGGGATCTGTGCTCCGGGGGATCTGTGCTAGTTGGCCTCCCACAGGTGACCTCATAGCAGTCAAAAGACACCCCCACACACTCACTGCCCCCAAACAGCTCAGGCAGAGCCTGTGGTGGGTCAGACTGAGACCTGCTAAGCCATTATGTGGTCACAAGGACAGGGTGTTCCTGGGCACAGCCCTCCGCTGTTCCCCTGGCCAGGTGGTCTGTGTAAGGACAGTGCTCCGTCTGGGCTCAGGAGGGGTCTCCCTGGCCACTGTGCAGCTTCCTCTGACCCCTGCACAGTGACCCTGGGCCCTGCATGGCACAGGGGAGAGGTTAGCTTGGGTGTTTCTGGGTCAAGTTCAACACTCACCTTCCTTCCCAAAGAACTTTAGAATCCAAGCTTTAAGAATCTCAGAACCGCAAGGTACAGGATCTACCCCTGATGCCCCATGGCCTTACCTTGGCCACTCTGTGGCCCCCTGGAGGCTCAGCCTGGGGCCTCATGCACCCTGCATTCTCCTGCCCACATTGGAGGACCCAGGCCCCAGACAGGAGGGGCTGGTGACTTCTCTTACTGATGACGTCACAGGCCCTGGAGCACGTGGCCTTGGCTGCCCCAGGGGAGCCAGCAAATGAAACCCCAGTCCCCCAGTCAGCTCTGTGATGTCCTGCGCCTGCCTGTTCCTTCTCTCTGGCCAGCTGGCCTCTCCTGGCCCCACAACCCCTCTGTCACCAGACTCCACAGCTTATCCTCCTGCCTGAAAATCCACTTCCCCAAAGGGCACTCTGCCCACCTGCTGTGCCCACAGAGGCCTGGCCAGTGTGGCCGCTGCCAGTGGACATGAACCCCGTGTGCTCCTGGCTGTGCACCTGGGGTCCCCTGGCCCAGCAGCCCCACTGTGCTGGGCGCTGAGTGCAGAGAGAAGGGATGGGGAAGACGCGGCCCTCTCCTGGCTGAGGGGCGGCTCTGGGGTTCAGCAGGAGCCCCACGTCCCATGCTCAGTCTTGCAGGTGGGGCTCCTCCTCTGTCTCCTGATGGGAATGTGACCACGGGTCCCTGGCCACCCAGCTAGAGCCCACCTCCTGTCCCTGCAGGGCAAATGGCGTGCCCAGGGCCACAGCAGGAGGGCAGGGCTGGTGTGCCGGTCCCTGGCAGGGGGCTCCAGGGCATGTGGATTCTGTCCTGGGCCCACCCCCAGCAGCTCCCTGGAGGAGATGACATCACCCCAGCAGGGCAGAGGTCCTGATGCCAGGGAGGGAGACGCAGAGGGACCATTCTCAGTGAGGGACGGGGAGCAATGCCACAGGGTCGTTTCCAGAAGCCCCCTGGAGAGGTGGTGGACATCAGAAACGGACCTGTGGCTGGAGCAGAGAGGGCTGCTCAGTGAGGACACCCAGGTGCCCACCTGGGGGACGAGCTGCTGGGGACGTGTCATTTTGCACAATGCTCTTCCTGTGGTCCCCGGGCCAGACTGTTCCACTCCTGACTTGTAGAGGACATTCCTCAGGGGCCCGGTCCAAGGGGACCCCCTTTTATGAAAGCCCCATTTCCTCCTTGAGGAGAGGACCATGAAGAGGGAATGGAACCCCAGCTGGGGACCCAGAGAACCCTCCCCCCAGAGACCTGCCCAGGGAATCTCCTGACTGCATCTGCGGGGGACGCCGTTCTTTCTCCTACAATCCAGGGCTGGGAGGACATGAATTGAACAGGATGGAGACTGGGGTCTCTGATCTCCATGAAGCCCACCTGCAGGGGGACATAGAACAAGGGTGGGAGAGGGACCTGGCATGGGCCCTGGACCCTGCACCTGGAGCTGCCTGATACTCTGTAGATTCTCCCTGGATTCTGTGAGCACGTCAGAGCCCACACACTCTAGCTGTGACCACATGCACACAGAGGTTCCCGTAAGCAGGCTGTGGCCACGGGCACATGATTTTCATGAAACAATACATATGTCCTCGTTACATAGGACACACACTGGTATTTTTCATTCTGTGCCATTTCCTCCTGTGACAACTGAGACCCAATGCGCTGACTTCACGATGCACTAAAATGATGTGACTTGGGCAGAATAAGAACATCCAAGCTAGCTGGGCACAGAGACCACACCTGTAATCCCAGCAACTCAGGAGGCTGAGGCAGAAGAATAGGAGTTCAAAGCCAGCCTCAGCAATTTGGTGAGGCCCTAAGCAAGTTACTGAACCCTGACTCAAAACGAAATATAATAAGGGATGGGGTGTGGCTCAGTGGTTAAGCACTGCAGGGTTCAATCCTGGTACCAAAACCAACAATCAAAATGGAGAACAAATAATAAAAAACCCAAGCTAGATCCACAGCCTTCAATTTATGGCCATTTTTGCTTACACCAGACCAAGATGAGCTTGTTACTTGTAACCTGCTAACTAAATGTGCCCCTTGATCGTCCTTCACTTACATTCCAGCCCCTGCCCTCGTCCACCCCTCGCCTGGCCAGGCTCACGGGCCACAAGGAGTGTACTGCAAAAAGCATTCTTTTCCCCTTCATCTGTAGAAAAGCGATGTGGGCTTCTGGGGGGTGCTGTGAGGAGGGGAACTGTGTCACACCTGGGCTCCAATCCCAGCCATCTTGGTCTCAGACCCCGTGACCTTGGGTGAGTTCCCTGAGCCCAGGAGTCTCAGCCTCAGCAGCTGTAGAATGGAGAAAGCTCCCTACTCATGGGAGGAACCTATGGACCCAGGAGATGAGGTGTGAAATGTCCCCAGCACAGGACTCCACAAGGAACACTGTACACGTGACAGCTCCCAGCCCTCCAAACACAGGAGGAAGAGCACCCTTTGTCACTTGAGGTGGGAGCAGTGTCAAGAGTCTCCAGCTGTGCGGGGTGACGCACACTTGTAATCCTGGGAGGCTGAGGCAGGAGGATCATGACTTCAAAGCCAGCCTCAGCAACTTAGCACGGTGCTAAGCAACTCAGTGAGACCTGTCCCCAAATAAAATACAAAAGAGGGCTGGGGACATGGCTCAGGGGTTGAGTGCCCCTGAGTTCAATCCATAGTACCAAAAAATAAAAATAAAAAGAGTCTCTCCAGCCTCCCGTGACAGTCAAGCCCTGTGCCTGTGTCCCAAAACAGGAGGACTGGTGTGCCACGGTCAAGGTCACACACTTGATCTTTACAGAAGGGAGAACATGAGGGCTAGACTTGCAGTAGGACGAGGCCAGCCGTCTGGCCAGCCAGGCCTGAGACGTGGAGCCCTGGGCCTTGTCAGGGCTGCTCTCCCCTAGTAACGGCTGCTCCCTGCTCCACCCAGCGGGGCTGCCAGATCTGGAACAGCTTCCAAGCAGAGCTGGGGGCAGGGGTGCAACTCTGACTACATTTGGAAAATTCTATCTCCTGGGAAGCCTCAGTTCAAACACCCCCTGAACACTTCCCCCAGGAGAAGGGCTCCTGGTGTTGGGAACCGCAGGGGGGCCCTTCTTCCAGAACCACCCGGTCCCTTCCCTTTGCCCCAGGTTAGGGGGAGGCTGTTGGCCACAAAGCAGGTCCCAGCACCGTCAGTTTATGACCTGGGGACCAGAATAGTCTCCCTTCTAAGGTCTGACAGGACACCCCATTGGCCAGGGGATGTTCATCAGGGGGGCAAAGCAATTCTTGCTGTAATATTGTCCCATCAGACCAAATGCCTGGGTGACTGGCAGAATAAACAGCTGTACCCAGAAAATAAAAGGGCAGAAACTAAAGCCCACCTGTGCTTCGTGGGCAGCCTCCTCCTAGGGATCCTCAGGGAAGCCTAAGAAACGGGAGGAAAGGCCCCGCCACGGCGTATCCATGAGCCTAGTGGAGGAAAAGGGCCCAAAGGAGCCTCGGGACCACCGACAGCAGGAAGCCGCTTAACGCTGACGGCATTGTATAATGAGAAGCAGACAGACAGTCAGACTCAATGCCTGTCCTCCAGCCCCGGGACTGCAACGTGGAGGAAAAACGATTAAGGCACAGTGTTTTGCTTTTTTTGTATATGCTGGGTTGTCCAACCCTCTCCTGGGATGAAATTTGTGTGTCAATTAAATGCACAAATAACATTCCTAAAGTCTGTGTCACAATATGAATATAAGAGTCACAAACTACAAAAAAATAAAAGAAAAGGATATGTATGGAAATACATTTTAGTATGGAAAATTGGAAGGTAAAAAAAATGTTTCTGGATGAGAAAATATTTTGGCTGGTTAAGTAATATTCTAAAGTCCAAGAAGAAAGGGGACGAAACTTACATGTAAATTGTGAATGTCTAAGTCGCAGAATGTTTGTGGAAGGTAAAGCTCAAAAAGTGTGTTTGTGATTAAATTGGCTATAAGTGACACAGTCAAAGTTATTTGAATTTGAATGTACTGATATAAAAATCTGAAACACAGATCTATTCTTATTATCACCATAATTTAATTGTGTTTGTGAGGTTTTATTATTTGTGGAAACTCAGTCTTAAAGGAATTAGGGTTTGTACCTGTTGTACAGCCTTAAATGATCACTTTGTAACTGGTCAAGGAAACAATTGTTATTTAAGTTATAACAATATTGTTGACACTCAAAATATATGTGACTAGGTGTATGTAGGCATCTGAGAACAATACCTGTCTAAGCCCTGTCTACTTGTTATGTAAAAGTTTATAAAATGAAAGCTTATGTAAGTTTGCCAGCAAGATAAGCAATAAGTGCTCCCTTCTATACATTATGCTCTCTTTTTTGACATAGAAGGGCCACACTGTCATTCGAAGTCCTGTCTTATATCTGTTTGCTTTAACTAAGCCAACTTCTGGTCATTAACACTGTTTCCTAAATGTGGTAGAGATTTAAGGCTACTCTTGGATTTTTGTTAACCCGTGCAAACCTGTGATTATTGTTACTGTACACTCAGGATTGTAAATTGGACTTTAAAAGTTAAACTTAGTTAAATGTAAAGCTTAGGAGGGCTCTTTAACAAGTTGGTGTTCTCCAAACTAAAACTGGGTGTAGCAAGTGTCTCGGGTTTATAGAAAAATGACAATTTTGATTGGTATTTATTCATGTCATTTGATGTTTTATAGCTGGATAAAGTAAACTGCTGTCAACTTTGCGTTACTCTTCACCCTGAAATTGAATTTTAAATGCATTTTTGGAAGACAATAAGGAGAGCCTGTTCTGTTCAAAGGAGACACTGTAAAACATGGAAGCATTCTGGCACTTTGTCCACAAAAGGAAAGTTACAAGCTCTCTTAGCCTCTCTTTGATTCATGTTTCAGGTGTAATGTTGTATTGTGTTATTTGTGAAGAGCCCACCTTACCTGAGATAAGGCTCTGCTTCCCACCTTACACCATTTTAAAAATGGCTCCAAAAATGTCTAGACTTCAGCCCATTTAAAGTTGTATTCAGAAGTTGATTTTTGTTGTAAAGATTGCTGTGCTTTCAGACAGGGAATATAATATGTAACTAAGTAAAGGTTCAAGATTATAAAAGCCATTTTTTTTTGGTTCATAGTTATTACACAAACTGAATATGTTTTTGCTCTGTTAATTCATTTTGTATTTTCCTTGTAAACTTTGTAACTGTTGCCTTTTAGTGTTTTGCAGAGGTACTGCTCATTGAAAATAAACAAACAAACAAACAACCATGGTTAATTTGAGATAATAAGTCATCACCTACAGGACAGACAGTATATAATGCTGACTTCCAGTACTAATACTGACTTCAATTAAATGAAAGGGGTACGTGTAAAATTATAGATGTTGAAGTCATAATCCGTTATTCCCTCTTTAAGCCTGGTGAAACTTTCTTGCTGGGTATTTACAATCAAAAAGTTGGAGACCAAAGTGAAGGAAGTAAAAGGGCCAAGGAAAAAGCATTCAACATTTTGGCCCTTACCCTTCAAAGGTCAACCAGGACCCAGAGAATGACAGGACCCCTCTCTGGACCCTGCAACGGTAGTGAGTTACCTGATCTACTGAGGGAGATCAAGAGCACCCTAGAGAACAGGAAGCCAACCAGTGCACATTCTGCAAAGTGGAGGGACAGTGGAGATGAAAACGTCTCTGATGCTTCCAAGAGAAGCCACATATGTTCAGCTGGACCCTGACTTATCCTGGCAAGTGGCACCACAGATAGAGGAAAGCTAAAGGAGCCAGGAGGCTTCACACGTGTTCGCAAGGGTGATCTCTGAGGAATCTCAAGTGACTGAAGAGTAGATAGGAACAAGGTCAGTTTTGACCAACTGGTCTTAAACACCTGGCAGGAGAGTAGAGCCTAAGAACAGTCCTACATGCACATTAAAAAGGAAAAACAATTGTTTTTTTTTTGTGTGTAACTTAAGATGTACATTTTTGTCAGCCCTACCACAAGCTTTGGGCTATGAAGGAAGGGATATTGTATAGGAGTATCCAATAATAATGATCACAAAGAACTCTAGAGTCCCACGTTTTTCCTGAGTGAATTGGAGCCTGATCTCATACACCTATAAATCTTTTCAACCTCCTATATTGATAAACTCTGTTTTTCACTGATAAGTGCTCATAGTTTTCAGAAACTGGCTGAAATATTAATTACTTCTGTGCTAATTGTTTATAAGCAAAGTAATACTTTGCTGCTTTGTTTATTGCTGCCTTATCGTGATCTCTGCCCTATGTATGCCTTGTCCACTCACCTGTCACCAGCCACTATGGACCTTTGGACTGCTTTGATGCTGAGTGCTTTAAGTGTCCACGCCCCAACTGATAGAAAAAAACGACTTTGGGTTGCTTCCACAAACTTCACCCTCTTTCAGCACAAAGCAGTTTGGAGATGTTGTTGCCTATTTTTCCATAGAAATGGAAGGTATAAATTGACTGTGGGGAAATATAACAGTGGTCCATTGTATGCTTTGAATGTAGCCCTTGCTGCTCTGCCACAGCAACTTGTTTTTTTAAGTGGACATTTTTCTTGCTCTTCCTCTCTCCCTCCACTCCCTATGCTCTCCCCTTCCTAATGTCAGGGGAAACAGGATTACCTTTATTCCCCATCCCACACAGTTATCTGTCCCTGAGTTCACACCCACCATAGGAATGAAGTAATCCTGACTCTGGGGATGGTTCCAGAAGACCTCAGCAATGACTATGTCCCAAATTAACAGGTGAATTACAATGCCAACAGAGTGCCGCAGTCTGGCTGGGCACAATCAGGAGCCACTTGTCAAAAGAAACTAACTTTATTTTTAGAACCACACACGCCAAACAAAACAGCCTCTCAGGAAAAACCCTCAGAGCCTCAACTGCCACCACCGGCTTCCCACCAGCCTCTCTCTCCCACCACCGGCTTCTCTCCACCTCCCACAATCCTCCTGCTCTTGAGGCCGATTGGCTGGGTCACGTGGGCGGAGCCAAAAAAGTCCCCCAATGAGCAGCTCCGTGGTCTGAAAGGGCAGGGAAACAGCCCAATGAGCATCACTGCAGAGGAGCCAATCAGCTAGATGTTGCTGGAGCCGCTGTGAGCCAATCATCAGCCAGCAGCTGGAAGTTTGCTGGCAGCTGGAAGTTTGCTGGGGCCCCTTTGGCTGTGGCTCTCAACATCTCCCCCTCTCTCTTTAAACAACAAGCATGTGGCGTAGGGACCGTGCCTGTTAGGCAGTCCAATTCAACATATGGTCCTTACCCGTCATCGGATGAACTGACCTCTAGGCGTCAGCCTCCTGTCTTAGGTTGGTACCACTGCAATTGGATCATACCCGTCACTGACTACCGGTCCAGCATACAGCCATACTTGTGGATAGGCCTTTGCACCTGTGGGGGGGTGAGGTTCTTTGCCTCACCTCTGTTGGCCCCAAATTTTAGACCATCACTAGTAGAGGAGGATGCAAAATGCCATGACATTAAGCCAATTGAGGGCTCCTTTGAAAAATTGTACCACCGGTGACATCATCAGAAAAAATACCCCAACACTACCACAAGTCGCTGCACCAACAGATAGTTCACAATGCATACAGGTGAGCTCACAATGTGTCCAGGCAAGTTCTGCAAGCAGTTCAGTGATGGCTATTGTAGAAGCTGTAGATTGGTTTTATCTTTGACTTCACCAGCACTGGGATGAAGATAGGAATTCTGGCAATAATGGCTAAAGAAAAAATTATGTAACATTCCAGAAGGCACTAAAAGAAAACAATTTTCTTAACAATTTACATTGTCTTCACCGGCACTGGGATGAAGATAGGAATTCTGGCAATAATGGCTAAAGAAAAAATTATGTAACATTCCAGAAGGCACTAAAAGAAAACAATTTTCTTAACAATTTACATTGTCTTTAAGAGAATTATTAAATATAATGAAAAGGAAAGATCTGTTAACCTTCTTTTTTGTTTACATATTAAAACAATCCTCAACAGTTGTTTACCCAATTTAAATTAAACCATATAAATCACGTGAAAAAAAAATATTTGGATCCATTTTATCATGAGCGCTCATCATATATGATATATGGACATACGTACATTCAAACATATAACACAAAACACAAGTGTGCACACATAATATAATACATACAACACATAACATTATAGTAAAGGCCTTATAACTTTTTACAGGTGAAATCTCCATTGCAATGTTTAAAAACTCTATAGTCAAAAAATAGAACTGATCAGCAAAACATTAACCTAGGTCTGTATGAGCTCAAAAAACAAAATAGAACTTCATGATATGGCAAAGGGCAATAATAAAATAGATATTGAAAAAAGCATCCTGGTTCTGTTGCAGATGTAAGAATAGCCAAACTGGAGTTTTGGATATCAGTTGTTATGGATTTGAGCCAAATCATCTTCTTTTTGGTCTGTAGAAATCGCTTTAGTTAATCTTTCTGGAATCCAAATCGGCTGCTGTTCTCTCTGTGGAAACACATAAACAGACCCCCGACTCCAGACAATCACTGGTTCAGGACCTTGGTTAATCTCTCTGGAATCCAAATCGGCTGCTGTTCTCCCTGTGGAAACACACAAACAGACCCCCGACTCCAGACAATTACTGGGTCAGGACCTTTCCATTGTCCTGTTAGAATATCCTTCCAAAGTACCTTGGGCTTATGTACATTTTTTGGACACATATGCCTTTCCACAGCACTAAGCCCTGATGAATCCAAATTTAAAAAGTTTAGAGTAAAAAGGGTTATTTTAAGTTTATCTTTGGGGAATATATACCCCTTCCCAATTCCTTCTTTTTGCTTTAATAAGTACATTTTAATAGTTTGATGAGCTCTTTCAACTATGCCTTGTCCCTGTGGATTGTATGGGATTCCTGTTATATGAGTAATGCCAAATGTTGAGCAAAATTGTTTAAAAGAGGTAGAAGTATAACCAGGGGCATAATCTGTTTTTAACTGTTTTGGAACACCCACAGTGGCAAAATTTTGTAAGCAATGAGCTATAACATCTTTAGTTTTTTCTCCGGCATGAAGGGAGCCCATCAAAAATCCAGAAGAAGTATCAACTGTAACATGCAAATATTTTAATTTTCCAAATTCTGGCAAGTGTGTGACGTCCATCTGCCAAATATGGTTAGGTATCAATCCTCTAGGATTGACTCCAAGATTAACTTGTGGTAAAAAGGTCACACAATTTTGACATTGTTTTATTATTTGTCTAGCTTGTTCCTTAGTTATTTTAAAACACTTTTGTAAAGTATTAGCATTGACATGGAACTTTTTATGAAAATTTATAGCTTCTTCTAGTGTAGAGAAAATATGTATGTCATGTGTAGTTTTATCTGCTAAATCATTGCCCAAACTAAGGGCTCCAGGCAATCCTGTATGTGCCCTGATATGTCCTATAAAGAATGGATCTTTTCTGTCCCAGATTAGACTTTGTATAGTGGAAAGCAAAGAGAAAACAGTAGAAGAAGGGGAAATCCTACCAGCATCTTCAAGAGATACTATAGCATTAACTACATACTGACTATCAGAAAATAAATTAAATACAGAATCTTTAAACATCACAAAAGCTTGTAAAACTGCATTAAGCTCTACCTTTTGAGCTGATTGTTTGGGTACTAAAAATGTAAAAGTTTGATCAGGGGTAACTACTGCTGCTGTACCATTATTTGACCCATCAGTGAATATATTTGGAGCATTCATAATAGGTGTTTTTCTTGTCATTTTTGGAAAAATTACAGGATGCAATGACCAAAAAAACAATAAAGGATTAGATGGTAAGTGGTTATCAAATGAAACATTAGATTTGCACATGATTATTGCCCAAGTATTTAACTCATTAGCTAACTCATCAATTTGATTCATAGTATATGGAGTAATAATTTTATTGGGAGAAATTCCAAACACTCCCTTTGCTGCTTTTATTCCTTTGAGTATTAATTGTCCTACAGCCTCAGGATACCTAGTAAGAATAGTGTTAGGAGAATAAGATAAATGTATCCATAATAATGGACCTTCTTGCCAAAATACTCCTGTAGGAATATTTTTTGTTGGTAGTACAATAAATAATAAAGGCAAACTTATATCAATTCTATCCAAATGCATATTTTCCATATATGTTTCAATGATTTTTAATGCCTTTCTTGCTTCAGGCGTTAACATTCGGGGTGAATTTGGATCTGATGGACCTTTTAGGATATCAAATAAAGGTCCCAACTCTCCTGTTGGTATACCTAAATAAGGCCTTATCCAATTTATGTCTCCTAATAACTTTTGAAAGTCATTAAGTGATTTGAGTTGATCTACTCGTATTTGAATTTTTGGTGGACGGACCATGGTTGAGGATAATAGAACTCCTAAATAATTAATTGGAAAATTTAATTGTACTTTATCTATTGCTATCTCTAGATTATAATTTTTTAATAAGTTTGTAAGTGTGGCATAACATTCTAGCAATGTGTTTTTATCTTTGTGTGCTAATAATACATCATCCATATAGTGAAATATTTGTAGTTCAGGATTTTGATTTCTAAGTGGCTGGATTACTTTGTTAACATAAATTTGACACATAGTTGGGCTGTTAGCCATCCCTTGAGGGAGTACTTTCCATTCATATCTCTGATCAGGACCTTCATGATTCAGTGCAGGGATAGTAAATGCAAAACGTGGACTATCCTCAGGATGAATTGGAATTGAAAAAAAACAATCTTTAATATCTATAACTAAAACATACCAGGTTTTTGGCAAAGCAGACAACTGAGGAATCCCTGATTGAGCAGGTCCCATAATAACCATCTCATTATTAATGGCTCTTAAATCTTGCAATAATCTCCATTTACCAGATTTCTTTTTGATGACAAAAATGGGAGTATTATGGGGAGATACAGAAGGTTGTATATGTCCTTCTGCTAATTGTTGTTTGACCAGGTCATGGGCTGCTTGTATCTTTTCTTTAGTCAGAGGCCACTGAGGAACCCATACTGGTCTTTCTGATTTCCAAGTAATTTTTATTGTCTCAGTGGCCCTTTCTGAAAATCCAACCCATGTCTGTCTGTTCCTTGATCTATTTGTATTGGTGCTGCTATACCTTGTTCTTGTTTTTCTAATCTTTTTCCTTTCCTAAAACCTTGTCTAGTCATAATAATGGGTGCATTTTGGTTGATGTTATTTGTTAATGTCAAACCTAATTGATCTAGGACATCTCATCCCCATAAATTTACGGGAAGATGATCCAATACATATGGCTGTATAGTTCCTTCACATCCTTCAGGATCCTTCCAATCTAATACCATTGCACTTCTATGGGGATTAGTTGCCATTCCTAGGCCTCGAAGCTTTTGAGTGGCTTGTTGTAATGGCCAATGTTTTGGCCATTCTTGACGAGAGATGATGCTAAGGTCTGCACCTGTATCCAGTAGCCCATTAAATTCATGTCCTTGAATATTTAGTTTTAGCATGGGGCGAGAATCTAAATTTAAAGAAAGCATAGCCCAATCTACACCTGTGGAGCCTAATCCCTTGGAACCTCTTTCTACAGTACGACTGGAAAATTTATCATGTAGGCTGGGTATTATTAGTAACTGTGCTATTCTATCTCCTGGTGAAATTACATTTAAATTGTTGAAGGCCTTGAACAGCCATCTGGGAAAGCTTCATGCAGTTTTCTAAGGATGCCAAAGTTGGAGCACGAAACTCCCTTTCTTCACGGCTCCGGGCCATTAATATTAGTTGGCAGATTACATTAACCATTTCTTGAAGCAAAGCAGGGCATTTTTTCAGCATAAATTGCTGATCTTCTTCAAGGGTCTCAGGAATTTTCATTCTAGCAAGATGAGACAGTAAAAGAACTCTGGCCTTCAGGCTATATGGGCAGGTAAGTGGAGGCTCATTCTTCTTTAAATTAATGCTGCCAATCTCTCTGATCAGCTGTGGTATTAGAATATTATCTGTTGGTCTGCTTGTAGCATCTTTATTATACTGGGGATCAAATTCAGAAGCTCCAGCCAAAACCATGATGAGACGTTTCATATCCATATTTCGGGTTTTATAAACAAAGTATGTATAAATCTGTGTTGTGCGTATTAAAATCTGGTCTCCACTATATCGTATTGAACGATACCACCAAGAACCCACAACAACTGGAAGGATAACCATAAATGCCAATCCATATACAAGTAAAACCAAAATTGAATTTTTCTGGTCAACTATCCAAGCTGGCAGGGCAATTCCAAAGCTTGTGGCTTGAGGCCCATCTGGATTTCCAAATTCTTCCCAATTTTTTCGGGACTCTTCATCTGTTAAAGCTGCATAAGCTTTTGCTATCCTCATGAACATGACTTCATCGCCTCCTTTATCTGGATGATACTTAAGTGATAGCAAACGATATTGTTTCTTAATTTCTGCTACTGTTGCTCCAGGATCCAAATTTAATACTTCATAAGGATTGTATTCTTGATATTCTCGATCTGTTTTGGACACTTTGTATGTAAGGAATAAGAACAATGCCCATCCTGCTAGTAGAACTATTTTCTTTACTGTAGGAATAATATTTGGCTGGGGTTTTAACAACCGTAAACGATACCACATACATCTTCCATATACTTTTCTGATATTCTTTAATCGAATTTGCTCGGCATTCTGGTCTCGGGGCCAGAGGTAGTATGTGGCTGGGATCACGATGAGCCCAACAAAGGAGGTGAGGAAGTAGAAGAAGGTGTTCCCACTGTCATCGTACTGGAACTGCTGCCCCGCCATGGCTCCCCCTCCTCCTCCTCCTCCTCGCTCTTCTCACCGCCGGCGCCACGACCCCGCTCTGCGCCCTGGCTCCCAGCGCCCCGGCCCGGTGCAGCGTAGCTCGGACGCCGCCGCCGCCGCCTCCTCCTCCTCCTCTCCTCCCCGCCCCCATTTGGTGCTGATAACGCCAAGGTCGCGGGTTCGTTCCCGTACGGGCCACCAAATGCCGCAGTCTGGCTGGGCACAATCAGGAGCCACTTGTCAAAAGAAACTAACTTTATTTTTAGAACCACACACGCCAAACAAAACAGCCTCTCAGGAAAAACCCTCAGAGCCTCAACTGCCACCACCGGCTTCCCACCAGCCTCTCTCTCCCACCACCAGCTTCTCTCCACCTCCCACAATCCTCCTGCTCTTGAGGCCGATTGGCTGGGTCACGTGGGCAGAGCCAAAAAAGTCCCCCAATGAGCAGCTCCGTGGTCTGAAAGGGCAGGGAAACAGCCCAATGAGCATCACTGCAGAGGAGCCAATCAGCTAGATGTTGCTGGAGCCGCTGTGAGCCAATCATCAGCCAGCAGCTGGAAGTTTGCTGGCAGCTGGAAGTTTGCTGGGGCCCCTTTGGCTGTGGCTCTCAACACAGAGAACATGTGGAATGTCGCCTTGGAAACACCTCTTTAAAAGCCCCCTATTCCTGCTTATGGATAGATTCATGGCCTTTGGTACAGGAATTCCCGGTGCTGCTTCTTCACTAGCAAAGCAATAAAACTTCTTTTTCCTTTATCTTAAAACCATGTCCTCCTAATTGGATTGTCATTTTTTATGTAACCCCCAGCAGTCACCCTGAGTCAAACACAGGCATTTCTGTAGAGGATCCATGCACGATGCAAGTGAGTATCCAAAGATATTCAAATTAAGTGGAATACAGAAAAATCACAAGAAAATTCGGGCCAGTTCAGGTCAGGTTTTGCCCTGGAGTGAATTAGCTGTTTGAGTCTCTGGGCTCAGAGCGTCTGCATGGAAGAATGACAGGTGCAAGTCCCTGATCCTCTAAAGTCTCCCTCCTAGGGTTGGGACAGGGCTGTGTACCTATGTAAGATGTGGTGGGAGAAAGGGGTTTTATAGTTGTCACAGGCAGCGGCCTTTGATCCATAGGCTGGTTGTCCCTGCAGGGTGCTGCCCACCTTGGTCACAGCCTGGTCACAGCAGCTCAGAGCCAGAGGTTCCACAGATGCGGAGCCAAGGTCAAGGGAACTGAGCAGCTTGCTCACCCCACTGCAGCGCTGGGTGGCTTCTGGGCTGCGGGGTCCGCCTGGCAGGACCCATGGCTCCATGACATGGTCCAGCAGCTGCCGCCTCTGCTCTTCTCTGAGCTGGAGGGAGGGGCCTCAGGCTGCTGCTCAGACGCTGTCCACGCCCCAGCCGGCCTCGGGCTTGGATTCTGCAAATCAGCCTCCTGCTCAGACACTGGGTGGGAGGCGAAAGTGAAAGAAAAAGTGGCGCTTTTTCGGGGAAAGCCCAGGTCTTCTGGGAACCTGCCTCTAGCTGGTCCCTGGCTTGTCCTGGGAGGCGGTGGCTTGGCCAGGCCACTGCCTCTGCCTCTGTCCCTGTTCCCAGCTCGCTGCTGCAGCACCAGGGACCCTCAGGGAGGTGAGCACAGAGGTGCGGTGGCCCTTTCCCCCACACCTGGAGCAGAGGGACCGCAGGCTAGGGAGCCAGGGCAGGGGCTGGGCTCCTGAAGGAGCAGGTGCCAAGGGTTGGCTCCTGGCTCTGGACAAACAGCTGTCCTCAGGGCGACTGGGCTTTGCCTCCCCGCAGCTGGGAACTGTGCAGCTCAGGGCTCCGGGCTCCGGGCTCCGTTCTTCTCCTGAGAAACCCGGGGCCCCGCAGCTTCAGGGCTCCTCTTGGAAGAAGCTGCAGCTGGCTTCGCCTCCTGATGCAGCCCCAGTGTCCCGTCCTCTGGATTCAGGATTATTTCGTCCTGTTTACTTGATGAACGACGCAGGGAGGTGTCCTGGCAGTTACTGAGCCAGGCATTTTGCAGAGATTTCCCGGATAAAGAGAGAGCAGCGAGGACAGTCCTGAGACTACAGAGCTGGAAAGGGACGGGAGGGACTCTGAACCCACTTCAGCCACTTGTGCCTCTGCTAAGGAGAAGGTCTGTTTTCCCCTGTAGAGAGGGCGAGCAGCTCCCCTGCCAGCCAGGACACCCTGCCGTTCTGAACTAGGTGAGCAGAGAGACCCTTCAATCATGGCGATCAGAAGGACATCTCCATTCTACAAAGGTAGGCTTCCCTCCCGTGCAGCCAGTTCACCCTGGGAAAGTGGAGCCCAGAGATGGCTCGGTGGGAGAAAGATGGAAAATAGACTGGCCCAGATGCTGAAAACGCACGTGGGCTGGGGTCGCGGGTCATGGCGATCCCTTGTCCTGCGTGGGTGGATCCCAGCGCTGCAAACGCAAGTCCCCAAACCAAGGGGACACCAGGACCTGTGAGACATATTTCTCTGTAGCCAGCCGCCTCCCCTCTGTGACTTTCTGCTTCTCTTCCTCCTGGGCTCTAAGGCGTGTGGCAGTCCAGGGCTCTGTGCTGGGGCTGTGCTCGTCCTTTTGGTGAGGAGTTCTGCTTCCTCACTGATGAAGTCTGAACACTGGAGAAGCCGTCAAGGCAAGCATGTAGAGCAGGGTTTATTCAGAAGGTCGTAACCCAGAATTCTCCCGGGAGCAGAACGGGCCCTAGCTTGTATCCTGGTATCCCAGGAAGTGAGGGTGTCCTGCCCTTTACACATCCTGGACCTTCTGTGTCTTCCTGCCTTCTTTCCCCTATCTTTCTCCTTCCTGCACACCTGAGTAGGCCCAGGAGATGTCCTCAGTGGAATGGCCAAAAGGTGAGAAGCCCCTGGGCAGGGGGAAGGGCTAAATGGAGTGATGGGGGAAGGAAGCCGGCCTGGAGAAGTGAATGAACAACGTTTACAACTCCCTGTAGGGAGGGACAATTCCTGGGACAGGTTCTTAGCCCTGGGTTGGAGCAGAGCTGAGGAGGAAGGGCTCTAAGGCATGGACATGTCAGTATCTCGGGGCAGTCTCCAACTTCCCAGACCCAAAAGGGCCTTCCCTCTCTCCTGCTGGATTCCTGTCTGCACACACTGCCTGTCTTTCATTCTGGCTTCATGACTTCTCTTCCTCTAGAGCTCCCCTGTCCCTGGCTTTAACCTCAGGACTGGAATCGAACTTGAACCTGAGTTTCAACACAGCACATTCACACCAGAACAGTGCCTGGGCCACACTGGGAAATGCCTCCTCCCATCCTCTGGTGTTCACAGCTCTGGGGACACAGGGATCTAGGTGGCTGGCACCTTTGTGCAATCAATCCATCAGTCAATCTCAGTGCCCCTTTCTCCTCCCTTCCCTGGCCTAGGCAGGTGGATGGTGGCTGGGCTTCAGATGGGGTCTCAGTTCTTATATTGTATGGGAAACCCTTGTTCCTCTCTGCTGCTGTCCTTGACACCCACACCAATCCATTCTGTGACCAGATCCGGGGCCGGGGAGGAGATTCCCACACCAAACAATCCTGCACTTCTTAGTGGGGACCAAGGGCTGTCCTCCAGCTAATCAATTGTGACCTACCAGGGGCTAGCCTCAGGGTCCTGCGAGCTGGGGGCTCAGGCCCAGCAGACCCTCCCACTCAGAGGCCAGTCCCAAGTCCCAGCCTCTGCCAGAGTGGCGTCCAGGCTCCCGGAGCCCCGCCCTCCTGGCGAGCATACAGAGCAGGGTTTATTTAAAAAGGGGTAAAATAGACTTCTCTCAGGAGGGAGGAGGGGCCATGACTGGCACCGTACAAGTCAAGGAGTCGTGCCTTTTATTGGTCCTAGGCCTCCTTTGTCCTCCTGCTCTCTTCCCCTTATCTCTCTCCTTCCTGCTACCTGACCTGGCCCAGGAGTTGCAGGGTGGGGTGGCCAAAAGGTGAGAGGCAGGTGGGCTGGAGGGGCCAAGGTGGAGTGTTCTGGGCCGGAAGGGGGCATAATTAACAACTCCCTGTGGGGAGGGTCGATCCCTGGGACGAGTTACCTTAGAACAGGTTGGAGCTGGGGCAGGTGATCTGGATAAGGTGGAGGAAGGCTTGAAGTCATGAGCACGTCAATCCTCCATTCTCTGGATCTGACCCTTGCCTATCTGCCTGTCTAGTTCTGGTTTCAATTTTATTAAACACTATAAGTCACAAAATCAGACCTAATATTCATATGTCCTTGGGCATACAATCTATACAGTCTTTATAAATGCCTTATCATGAAAAAAGGATTTTTTTTCTTTAACTGGGGATTGAACCCCGGGGTGTTACCCACCGCCTTTTACTGCTTATTTGGAGGTAACAATGATGCTCTGGAAATCGTAGGGTCACCAGATGAAGATCTGTCAGATGAAGAAAACTATTTCTTGAAGTATCATAGAGAACAATTTTTGAAAGATTTCCCCAAGTGGAAACAGGAACAAGAAAAAATTATCAGAGAGCTCCGTGCCCGGGCAGATGAGGTTGACGCCACCCATGAACAAACCAACAAGATCAACATGGTGGCCCACACCACAGCTGTCTTCTCTAGAGCCATGAGCTTCTTGGGGATTGCCCTCGCTCCACTGACCACAAGAGGAAGCCTCACGCTTTCAGCTGCCGGCAAAACTTTGGGGGCAGCAGCTGGGATCACCAGTGATGTGAGCAACCTGATAGAAGGGTCCTGCAATAAAAAAGTTAAAGCTCAGGCCACCGGGCACGAGCCTACCAGTGAGCCAGAGTTCAAGCAGGTGGATGAGAAGTCCATTTTCACAGCTATTACTAATATCATGGACAAGTTTCAAGACACCTCCAAGAGTCTCAGGAAGAGCAGGCGTGCCTACAGGGTAGCCCAAGCCAAGCCAAGCTTGGCTAAGGCTGCCAAGTATCGCCTGACAGGTGGCAAAGTCTCAGGCAAAACCAGCACGTATGTGCAAAAGGCCTTTGATGGCACACCTCTGGGAATGACCAAAAGTGCTCTCTTGGAGGGAGGTGCAGAGACGGCTGTCCACCTCGTCCGGGATTTGTGCAATCTCTCTGATACCTGGAAGAAACTGAAGGATGGAGACAGGGCACAGCGGGCAAAAGAACTAAGGGCCCAGGCCCAGGAGCTGGAAGAGCTGGTGACACAGTACAGCCACCATTATGAGCGGCTACAGCAGGTGAGCTCAGGATGTTGGAAGGGGGCTTTGGCCCAAATCCATGGAAACCAAGGTTGTCCAGAAGGGTTTAAGGGAGTGTGTGCTTGTGAGTGTGGCAGTGAAGTTTGCATGGATGTCCTTGAGGACATAGCATATGGTGGCCCTGAAGGCCCAAACTGTAAGAGGTTCCCCTGGAGATGGCAGTCCTGCACAGACCTGGTCACCTGTTCCCTCTCCCTTAAGGCTCCTTTAGGACCCTGTGCCAGGAAGAGTATCTTCCTGGCTTTACACAGGAGGTCACTGAGCCATATGGAGTGCTCTGGACTCAGTTATGTCCCCCTCAAATTATTCATCAAACGCCTAAGCCCAGTGCGGCAAGCTGGGGGTGGGGCTTGGGGAGGTGACGAGGGTTGAATGCAGACCTAAGGACAGGCCCTAATCTGATGGGATCAATGTCCATATAAGAGGAGGAAGAAGCTAGAGAGGGTCCCCCTGCCCCCAAAGCACCACACCGAGAAGCCCTTTAAGGGCACAGAGAAGGCAGCCACCTGCCAATAAGAAAGAAGAAACCCCTGCTGGGAGCACAGTGGGCCAGCACCCTGACCTAGGCCAGCACCCTGACGTGGGCCAGCACCTTGACCTGGGCCAGCACCCTGCTGTGGGCCAGCACCCTGACCTGGGCCAACACCCTGACCTGGGCAGCACCCTGACCTGGGCCAGTGCCCTGACCTGGCCAGCACCCTGACCTGGGCCAGCACCCTGACCTGGGCCAGAGGCCTCTGGAACTCTGGGAACTACGTGTCAGCTCTATGAACCACTCTCTCTGTGGCCTTCCATCACGGCAGCCAAGACCAGCCTGACAGGGGTGACGTGGCTGGCCAGTGTCCCCTCTGCTCCAGCTGCTCTAACAGTGTATGCAGACCAGGTGACTTGTCAACAACAGAAATGTGTCCTTCCCAGTTCTGGAGGCTGCACGGCCAAGGTCCAGGTGCCTGCAGAGGCAGGCTTGGTGCTGGGGAGGCTCCCTCTGCGTCACAGAAGGCCCCTTCTTGTCCTTCCTCACCTGGACGGAGGGGCAAGCAGGTCCCTCAGGGCCCTCTCATAGGAGCCAGTCCCACAGGTGAGGCCCCGCCCTCATGGCCTGTCACCATCCCAAGGCCCCGCCTCCTAGGGCCAACACTTGGGGGTTAGGGGTTGACCTGTGAATTTTGGGGAACACAAATATTCAGGGCCTAGCACCAAGTTCCCCAGGATCTTCTGTTAGCTGCAGGGCGGGCTGAACTGTCAACCCCACTGTCTGGCTCCTGACCGCTTGTTTGCCTCAAGGCTGAGCACTCAACCCCCAAGACCCCCACTCGCCTGGTACAACAGAAACCCACATCCCGCCCCTGCCCGGTCAGCCTGAGAAGCAGAAGGTGACACCCTGAGCAACTCCTGTGTGATCCTGTCACTGCAGGCCACCAGGCAGCTCGCAGACCCAGAGACCGCACTAGATTTTGGCTATAAAAACTCTCCTGCCTGGGGTTGTGGCTCAGTGGTAGAGTGCTCCCTTAGCGTGTGCGAGGCCCTGGGTTCCATCGTCAGCACCACATAAATGAAGAAAATGAGGATGTGTGTCCAGCTACAACTAGAAATAAAAAATAAAAAATTCCTCCTGCTGCTCGCTCTCTTTCCTCTTTCCTGCTGTCTGTCTCCCTCTCTCTCCCTCTCTCCCCCCTCCCTGGTAATCAGAGACCACCGCAATAAAGATCTCTTGGTCTCACCGAGTGTCTCTCACTTTCCTTTCATTTTCCTTCTCTCTTTTTTTCTCTCCCACTCCCCTCCTTGTCTCTCTCTCTCTGGGGACTGAGCCCAGGGGCACTTTTATCCTGAGGTAAACCCCAGTCCTTTTCATTTTTTTAAATTTTGAGCCAGGGTATCACTAACTGATCAGGCTGCCCGTGACCTTGGGATGTCCTGCCGCAGCCTGCCCCATAGCTAGGATTTCAGGAGTGCTCAGTGCATTTAGCTCTTTTCATTTTAAAATTCATGACATGTAATAATTGTACTGTTTTTTTTTCTCCCAGAAACTCTATTTTCGTTCTATGTTGTTGCGTTTTGTTTTGTTTTGTTGTGTTTGTTTTGTTTTGTATTTCCTCCCACAAATTCTTGAATTCTTGACAAGAAGAACAGAGCAAAATCTTTTGTCTTGGGAAAGCAACAGAGACTCAAACTCAGCCTCCATCCGAGGCGCAGGACAGGTTCCAGGGCCAAGGGAAGCAAAGCAATTAACCTAGCTACCCAGGAGCGCCACTCGGAGGGACCAGAACCTGCTGCCCCCCTCACAGCACAGCGAAGGTCACGGCGAGCGGAGACCCAGGTGGAGTGGCAGCATGAGGGCCCTGGCAGGCGCAGGCGCAGGCGCAGCTGAAACCCCCACGCATGCGATGACTTCGAGACCCCAGCCTTGCGTACCTTACAAGCACTATAAAGCTACACATTTCTGTCTTTTGGTTGAGTGTAAGGATGGCCTTAGGCCTTAGCCTAAGCAACTCCATTTTAAAATAAATCTGCATGCTCACCAGGCAAGCCACAGAGCCCTCAGATAGTCAATCAGGCACAGCCCGATAAAAGCAAGTCACTTTCCACAACCCTGATAAGAGCCAGAAGGGTATCAGGGCGGAAACCACAGACCATATGTCCATTCTAATATGTAAGGTGTCACTAAGTAAACCTGGTAACAGCTGATAGGGACCCAAAGGGCAAGCAGAAGCTCCCAAAATTTAGTATAAATAATGGAACAAATGAACATTCAGCCAGCCGACACCGATGCCCACATGCCAGAGACCCTCATGAGGACCTGGACTACACCCCAACTCTTCTCATCATCTGCCTGATCCTCTGCATCGTCCTCACCGCTTGCAAACTCGACAGCTGCCTCTTGATCCTAGTGGGAAAGGCGACTTCTCCTTATGCCCATCTCCTCAGCCAGCCACCAACTCACACCAGGAGAAGCCTCCATCGGCTCCTGACCTGCTCTCTGCATCTGAGTGCGTGGGCATCTGCTGGACTTAAGGCCTAAGACTTGAGACTTTAAATCTAGCACCTAAACTCAGCATGCAGAGGGAATGTCTGTAACAGGTCTGTCAGGATGAAGTGTGTTTGCAGTGCTCAGAGTTAACTTAGAATTGTTTGCTTTGAATTGATTTGTCTATAGCAGTGCCCAGCATTAAAGATTGTCATTCCTTGATTAAGAACCTATAGAATGAAATTGTATTAAGTGATTTGAGTGAATAAAATATTGAAAAGGGCAGAAGTGCATGGATATTCTTTATCTCTCCTTTCGAAAGCAGATGTCACACTTTTGCCCATTGCGACATTGAATCAGGCCTGGATTTCCGTCCTCCCCCCTGCTCCAGCCTAAGAATAAAGAGTCTCACTCCTGTGTCCTCTGCAGGGTCTGATTCTTCTGATGGGAGCACAAGTGAGAAGTTAGCTCTCTACCAGGTGGCCTCTCTCACAGGGTCCCTGCTGGCTCAGAGCCAGGTTTGCACACAGTGGGATGTCCCTGTCCCTGGAACCTGCCCCACCAGATCACTTTGTAGGAAGGAAGGGGGCCCAGGAGCCCTCTGTGTCCCCCACAACCAAAATCCTCCCATGTCCTCAGGACTGCTCAAGTCCCCCTGTCTGTCCCGTCCACTCACCCAAAGATGACTTTTCTTTCCCGTGAGCTTTACATGCGATTTTTTCTTTAAAGAAAAGAAAGAGGAAGCCACACTGGCCAAAGGTGACAGCAGTTGCTATTCTTGCATGGAATTTCCTTCTGTGCTTTTCTTGCTTTGGGTTTTGAAGTGCTGGCTTTGCAAGACCCTCCCTGCAGGCCGCGTGATTGGTGTTTCTCTCTATTCCCAGGCCCCTCATTTGTCCACAGAGCTGTCACTTATCATCCTGCTGCTTTCACGAAGCAGAAACATCTAATATTCCACGCCTTCATTGGTTTTCATAGGCAGTTTTCCCACATCTTTTATGGGTGCGCTATCTGTACATAATGACGGACTTGTTACTCATCCGTTCATGCACACAGCACAACAGGACTATTTGGCCAACGATCACTCCCCCGCCCTTCCCCCTCCTTCCCCACCTCCCAACCCTGGTCCCTCTCCTCCACTGGCCTCCCTTTGATTTTCATGAGATTTCCGCCCCCACACACACACCTTTCTTTTCCTATTTCCTCTCTAAAAACTTCCACACAGGAGAGAAAGCGTACAACACTTGACCTTCTCAGTGTGGCTTATTTCACTTAATATAACGTTCTCAAGTTCCTTCCATTTTCCAGAAAATGACATAATTTTATTTTTTTTTATGGCCCCATTCTGTATATACGCCACATTTTCTGGATCCATTCTTCTGATGATGGACACCGAGGCTGGTTCCATAGTTTGGCTACTGTGAATTAGGCTGCTATGAACATGGGTGTGCATGCTGATAGCATGATGGCATTAATTCTTCAAAACAAATACCGATGGGTCATAGAGCTGGGCTATATGGTGGTTCAAGGCCTCATAGAGTTTAATATGTTGCAAAATATTCACTTGACTACAGACAGTATTTTTCTTTTTGCAGTACTGACCTAGCCTTGCTTGTGCATGCTCCTTGAGGGCTCAATGGCTGAGCTGTATCTCCAGCCCCCCTCCCATTTTTGAGATAGTGTCTCGTTAATTGTCAAGGCTGGCCTCACACTGGAGATCCTCCTGGCTCAGCCTCCTGAGTAGCTGGAGTTGCAGGTGTGCACCCCCACACCTGGCTATGTACAGTCCTTTAATTAGGAAAAGATAGACATTGATGTTTTAAGTGCCCAAAACCAACTCAAAATGGCTTATAAAGTAAAAGGAATTAGTTGGCACACAGGGTTCACAAGCTTGGGGATACCATGGACTCACGTGTGTCTGGAAGCACGCAGCAAAAATGTCACCAGCCATTTGCTTTTCTGACTCACACGTTTCACAGGGCACCCAGCCCCAGGAGCTCTAGGTTCCTAGAGGAAGAGGCAGGGAGAGACCCTGGTCCACTCTGATTGGCCAAGCCCAGGCCCCGCCCCTGGCCCGCGGCTGCTGGGAGGCTCCTTGGGAACCACAGGGGAGGAGAGGGAACGAAACCCCAAGCAGAGGACCGGGGCTGTTGGCCTCTCCCAGTTCTTGAACTTTTAGATTATTTCAAGTTTTTATTTACACAGTATTACCAAGTGTTTACCTAAAGGCAGGGTCCCTTTTCCCTCCTGGAATTGTGGACCCAATAACAAGGTGGTCTGAGTGGGGGCAGGGCGACAATACTCATACACGGATATTTCAAATCATTTCCATCTCTGAAACCAGTTCCAACAACTGGAGGAACCCCTTCACCTGTTTTGCTCTGTGCATGGCCCCCGGACTGTAAACGGTATTTCTAGAGGTGGGATGCTGATGTCAGGCTTTCTGTGTTTGGGGATCCTCCACATCCGCCTTCCAACACCCCCGTCCTGCAGGCCCCTCAGCGGGAGTCTGCAGGCGCCGGTTCTCTCTCCTCGTGGCCAGCGCGGGCGGGACACGCTCATGCCTCTTACTTTTGCCAAGCCCATCAAAATGGTCTCCAGCAGTGGTCTGGTTTGCATTTTGGTGCTAGTGATGTTAAGCATCTTGACCTGTATTATTGGCCACTGGACGTGTGTTAGTCAGCTTTTCTCCTCCCGTGACCAAAAGACCAGACAAGAACAGCTAGAGGAGGAGAAGTTTATTTGGGGGCTCACAGTTTCCGAGGTCTGGGTCCATAGACGGCTGACTCCATTGCTCAGCGCCTGAGGTGAGGCAGAACATCATGGTGGAAATGGGTGGCAGAGGAAAGCAGCTGGGGACACGGCATCAGGAAGCAGAGAGAGAGAGAGAGACAGGCAGACAGACTCCCTTCCCACAGACAAAACATACACCCAAAGGCACGCCCCCACTGACTCACCTCCTCCAGCCACACTCTAGCTGCCTACGGTCACCACCTGGTCAGTCTCTATCCGGGGATTAATTAGCTTAAAACCCTCATAATCTAATCCTTTCACCTCTAAACTCCCTTGCATTGTGTCACACATGAGCTTGGGGGTGGGGACACGTCATGTCTGAATCATAACAGGGCATCTGTGAGACCTGTGTTCAAAGAGCACAAGAAATAACCTGCTGACAGAAAACAATGTCCAGGCTCAGTTGGAGACATCAAGGACTTTGCTACAGTTTCCCAAGACTCCAAAAAAGAATGGGCCCAGGACAGGGTGGATGGGGAGGTGGTGGGGGTGCGGAGGGGGCAGGGGTTCACATCTGTTACTCGTGATAAAAACTGAAGTTAAAAAAAACCAAGAGCGTCCCATAAAGATGTGAAACCACGAGTCCCTGGTTGTCCTGGTAAGTTCTTTTATGCTTTCAGAAAATCAGCAGCGCTTGTGCAGTGTGAACTGTCACCAAATGGAAAAGCTTGACATTATTGTGTATTTAGTCCACAAAGCAGACGTGACATTGATGATACTCCATGGTCACAAGAAAACCTTGGCTCAATCTCTTTTGTGACTCTGTAAGATGAACATGTTGAATAAAATGCTAGAAAGTATAAATCTGTGACACACCGATACCCAAATCTGCAGGGACCAAGTTGAGGTTTTCACAGCATATAAGGATAATTCAATATGTGGAAATTTATGCACATAATGTACTATATTTGTGGCATAAATAAAAAAGGAAAATTATGATCATTTGATTAGAGTCTGAAAATTCAGCACTTCATCCAAATAAAAATATTTAAGATAGGAATGAAACACACCACATCATGATGAAGAGTGGCTTTTGTAATCCAGCTGCCACCTCTGAAATGCTAGAGTCAATTCCACCCCATAAAGTAATTTAAGAATTCTAGCTAACTCAATAAGGCCCAGACAGAAAATAAGAAAAAAAAAAGTATAGAGAAGTTGGGGGAAAACAATATTATTTATTCATGAATTATTCATTCAATAACTATTGTATCAGCAAAGATTCAGAAAAGCCCAAGAGGAATATTAAAAATGAATAATATTTCCATGGAGTAAGAAAACAAGTTAGAAAATGTCACATTAAAAGATACGATTCATAATAGCATCAAAACAATTTAAAGTACCAAAGAAATGCATGTTGGCAATAACTACGAAATCAGCAAGTCCTTTTTGAGAGAAAATGGCACTGTGGGTCTCTGGGAAGGAGGTGCGAGGGTGGGAGAGACATACAGACCCGTGGCTTCCTCGAGGGACCCTCTGGGTCGCTTATGTTTGCAAACACTGCAACAGCAAACCATCGCCTTTGTAGAGCTCAAGGGTGTGAGGAGCTCCCAGCCCCTGCAAAGCTGAGAGGAGGAGGGGGCAGGGGAGCCAGAGACCAGCTCCATCACTGTTCAAGTGGGGACAAGAAAGGACGGGGGTGACATTCTACAAAGGACTTAAAACAATAACAAAAAGGTTAAGACTCCAATGTACAGGAGCGTCTCTCTGAACATGAGAGTCCATCTCCTCTTAAGAAAAGAGTAATGGCTATGACAAGTGTCCAGAAATATGGACACATTCGTATACTGTTACTTTTAAATTAGGGCATACAGGACTGCAAATTGGTGCAACCATTCTGGAATGGTATGGAGATTCCTCAGAAAACTTAGAATGGAACCACCATTTGACCCAGCTATCCCACACCTCGGTCTATACCCAAATGACTTAGAATCAGCATTCTACAGTGACGCAGCCGCATCAGTGTTCATAGCATCTCAATTCACAATAGCTAAACTATGGGACCAACCTAGATGCCCTTCACCAGATGAATGCATAAAGAAAATGTGCCATACATACACATATACAATGGAATACTACTCAGCCAAAAAGAAGAATGAAATTATGGTATTTGACAATAAATGGAAGGAACTGGAGATTGTCATGCTAAGTGAGATAAGCCAGTCCCAAAAAACCAAAGGCCAAATGTTCTCTCTAATATGTGGATGCTAACTCAAAATAAGGGGGTGGGGTGAGGGGAGAATTGAAGTTCAATGAGTTAAACAAAGGGGGATGACAGGAAGTAGGGATGGGAATAGGAAAGACAGTAGAATCAGTCATAACTTTCCTATGTTCATATATGAATACATGACCAGTGTAACTCCATATCATGTTCAATCACAAAAATGGGAAGTTATATTCCAAGTGTGTATAATATGTCAAAATGCACTCTAATGTCATGTATATATAAAAAGAACAAATAAAAATAAATGAATTAGGGGCTGGGGTTGTGGCTCAGT